CCCGCCGCAGGGCCTCCCAGAGGCCCCCGTGCTCCTCTGATCTTCACGCGCCTCCTCTGGGGTCCTGCTGCCTCCCCCTGAGCGGCCCCCTCCTTGCAGCCCGTGTGACTGTATCTGCAGGGCTCTGTCTCCTGTTCAGTTCTCTGCCGAGACCGACCGCAGGCCTGACTCCAGGCCTTGGGGAGCCCAGTGGGGGCGCCCTCTGAGCATGTGGATGGTTTGTGTGAGGGAGGAAAAATAATTTCCCTCGACCCTGAGTTCTTCTGGCTGATCGAAAAATCAAACTGACGTGAGACAGACTAACAGGAGAAAATGCCCGAATGATTACTTACGTACCTACAGGGGCTCCAGGACGTGGGACCCGAGGACAGACTGGGCAGGGAGGGTCTCTTGCTCTTTGGACAGTGGAGAGGGGCAGGGCTCTGGTGCTCAGGTTGGGGAGAAAGAGCGAGCCTGCTGGGCCCCCCAGAAACAGTGGGACCCCGAGGGAGTCCCCCAGACAGACTCCGCAGGCTCCTCTGTGTCAGCCACACTCGCTCAGCCCACGCTCCATCCACGTTCAGCCCACACTCGGCCCACGTGAGCCCACATCCGCGGAGGTGACTGCTTCTGTCCTTTAGGCAGGTAGTTCTGTCCGAGGGAAGGGGGAGGTAAAGGCTCTTCTTGTGTTTTCATTTCCGAAAAAGCTTAAAATAATATCCTAAAAAGGCGTATCTGGGGTGGCAAACTCTGATTCCCTCATTTGCTAAAAGATGTTCTCACTGCGGTGCTGAGGCTGTGGAGGTGCCCCTGGGCTCAGGAAAGCTGGGTGAGGGCTCACCGCTGACCTAGGCTAGACCAGCAGGAGGTCCAGGGCCCGGGCCAGAGAGCTGTCCCTAAGGCAGGACAGGTGGGGTGGGGGTGACACAGGCATGACTCAGGCAGCGGGAGGGGCCTGGGGGGTCCAGGGGAGACTCACAGAGCAGGTGACGCAGGGACCCGCCCTGGGTGGTGCTCTCACAGGTGGGAGTAGGGTGGGGACAGCACCCTGAGCCATCCCGTCAGCGACAGATTTTGAATATTTAGTGCCGGGTCTCAGTACCTTACAGCGGGGGAGCCAGGAAAAGACCAGTTCAGATCCTGGGCCATGGGGTGCATAGGAACCTGACAGGTACCGGGAGGATTTGGTTTCCAGGGTGCAGGGCACTGCCGGGCAGAGGTCAGACCCACCTCGTGCCCCAGCAAGCAGAGCAGAGCAGAGCCTCGGCTGAGCCAGGACATGCCTGCCCTTCAGCCACCGGAAGTCGGCCCCTTTCATGGCGGTGACATTAGTGTTTAAAACCAGGAACACTGAGCCCTGACTGGATCCTTTGTCCAGCTTAGAAGTTGCTCTGGCCTGAGTACCTCAGAAAAAAACGATGCCCTGCCTGGATCGACCTAGGATCCAGGCGATCAGGGTTCGATTCCCAGTCAGGGCACAGGCCCGGGTTGCGGGCTCGATCAATACTCTCTCATCATTGATGTTTCTATCTCCCTCTCCTTTCCTCTCTCTGAAATCAATAAAGATATATTTTTAAAAACACACAAAAAACAACGATGCCCCTCCTCGGGAGGGGGTGCGGCCCCTGAAAAGGTCTGGGCCCAGGAAGGCACACCCACTGGCGTGCGTGGCCCCAGTGGAGAGGTGCAGACTCCGCGATGTCTCTGTGGGTCTGTGTAGGGAGGTAGCCCCACTTTAGGGCTGGGTCCCTCCTCTCCTGGCTCCGGCTGCAGGTGGGGGAACGGTACCCACAGGGAAGGGGGGCGGAGTTCAGCTCCTTGGTTTCCCAAGCTTGCAGGGGCCAGGTACCCACAGAACCCTCTAATCCTGTTTCTTTACCTTGGATTTCAGTTCCAGGGGAGCCTCCAAGTTCTGTGTCAGTGACGCCCCACACCACCTCCTCCGTCCTGATCCAATGGCAGGTAAGCGCCTGGGTCTCGCAGAGTCTCATAAAGTACCACATGCCCGCTCTCCACATACCCAGCGTTGGGGCCGGAGCCTGAGTGCAGGCCAGGCCCCAAGCAGGTGTCAGAGCAGGACAAAGGCCGGCTTGCTAACTGGGCAGGAATGTCCAGGTGCGGTTCCCACACAGCAAAGCTGGTGGTCAGCATCCAAAGTGGACTTGAACCTACTCACGAGGGGGCACCCAGGGTGCCAGAGCACCGAGATGCCCACTGCCCCAGGCCGCAGGAAGGTGGCAGGCGGGGCTGCCATGGACGTGCAGCCTGGCCCGTGTCCCGCAGGCAGTGGACCCCTAACCTCCGGGATTTCCCTTTCTCCGTAAGTCACCTCTAACTGACAGTCTCTGCAGGGTAACAGGTATCTTCACTCCCTCGAGTCTTCAGTCCTCGGGACAGCCAGTCGAGCCGAGGCATGTCCCCTGGGTGATCAGATGAATCCTGTGCGTGGGTCAGGCTCTAACATGACATTGACAGGACACCTGCCCTCTCTCTGCCTGTTCCCCAGTTTGGGTATATTTTGCTAACAGTGAGGTGCATTGAGGGCAAAGTAACAGGGGAGCAGAACTGCCAGGCAAGGCTGCCCAGCCCCAGGCCAGCCCATGCCGGGGTCACGGTTAGAACAGGGCTGCAGCTGGTCTGGGCTGAGGCCAGGGGTGCGCACGGCAAAGCTTCAGCCAACCAGGGAAGCTCCTGCGGCCAGGATGGGGCCGCAGTCATGGGAACTAGGTTAGCTCCTCCATAGGGCCGTCAACCTGGCCCGGCCCTCAGCCCAGCCGTCCTGCTCCCCACACTGGGGTCCCGGCCCCTCCTTGGCACTCAGACAGCTTGGAGAAGTGGCGGCTGCACCAGCAGAGCCTGGCATCGTGTCCATCAGCTGTCCCCGTCCGAGCTCAGCAGGACACACTAATCNCCCCTGGGTGATCAGATGAATCCTGTGCGTGGGTCAGGCTCTAACGTGACATTGACAGGACACCTGCCCTCTCTCTGCCTGTTTCCCAGTTTGGGTATATTTTGCTAACAGTGAGGTGCATTGAGGGCAAAGTAACAGGGGAGCAGAACTGCCAGGCAAGGCTGCCCAGCCCCAGGCCAGCCCATGCCGGGGTCACGGTTAGAACAGGGCTGCAGCTGGTCTGGGCTGAGGCCAGGGGTGCGCACGGCAAAGCTTCAGCCAACCAGGGAAGCTCCTGCGGCCAGGATGGGGCCGCAGTCATGGGAACTAGGTTAGCTCCTCCATAGGGCCGTCAACCTGGCCCGGCCCTCAGCCCAGCCGTCCTGCTCCCCACACTGGGGTCCCGGCCCCTCCTTGGCACTCAGACAGCTTGGAGAAGTGGCGGCTGCACCAGCAGAGCCTGGCATCGTGTCCATCAGCTGTCCCCGTCCGAGCTCAGCAGGACACACTAATCACAGGAAGCTCAGCGCAGGAGGTGGTCAATACGATGTAGAAACACAGGCCTGTCAACTGCCTGGCAGCTGACACACCATGAAAATTAGCAGCAATTTACGAAATCACAGCAACTGGAACAAAGAGACTGCGTTTAAATATAGATCCGAGTTCCACATGAACGGTTCACCTGCAAATCCGTTGTCATTTATAGTAATTGGTATAAAAGCGGAGGCGTCACCTGTGACTGCCAGGTGTCCTACCAGTTTAAAGGGTGACTCTGTCACAGCAGGTCAGGCTGGACCCTTGCAAGCGGACAGTGAAGCCCCACCCGTCCTGGGGTCCATGCTGTCTGAAATCCGGACCCGGCCTCCCCTGCTGGCCGAGTTGGGTGATACACCCACATTCCAGCCAGGTGTCCCCACTCTAACAGAGGCCTTGAAAGTGGAAAGGCCTCGGAGTCCTCTACAGACGTGCCGTAGGCAGAGGGCAGACGTTTCAGGAAGGGCTCCCAGTTCCCATCGAGTATCTGCCCATCCAGATGGCCAGGCCGGGGTGGAATTAACCATGTGGGTCATCTTGGACGTCTGCAACCCAGCTCGCGCCCGCAACACTGACCGAGCGCCAGCTGCGCCCGCCTGTCCCAGGTGCCACAGGGGAGCAGAGGGAGCAACCAGACCCAGGCCTGACCCCAGCACCGTAGAACAGAAACACCAGGCACGGGGCCGGGGCTCGGGACAGGTCTGCGTGTGCAGACGGAGCCTTCTGTTCAGAGTCAGGAGCAGCCTGTTCCGGACGTGGGTCGAGCGGGGAGGGTGAGCAGCCAGCAGGCACCCGCAGTGCAGAGCCAGGACTTCAGTCCAGAGCCTGGGCTCGGCCACCCCTTCGAGAACTCTCCGTGCGTCGCGCGGAGCTGCCTTATGACACCTGCCGGGGCACCCAGAGGCCTCTTCCACAAATGGGAGACAGGGTTACTCCAAACTCAGGAATAGGAAGTGCAGTTAAACACAGTTCCAAGTCCGTGCGGGCCTGGGGATCTCTGGGGGTCAGGAGAGCCTGCCCCTCGCAGGGCCTGGACCAGCTGCAGGCTCTGACCTGCCCCTGGGCCTCTCTCTCCTCTCCCACTCATGTCAGCTCAGATCCCAGGCAGGCAGGCCTGAGGTTTCTCATTCTCGCTGCCCAGACTCTGCCACTCCCGCTGTGCGGAGCACGAGGTTGGTGCCAGGGACTGCTGGCCGGGACAGCCCAGCTTCCCCTGAGCAGCGCAGCTCAGGGACATGAAGCCCCGTCAGCAGCCCAGGAGAGGAGAGGCGAGGGCCTAGGTCTCAGGTGTCTGCCATCTCCCACCCGCAAAGGGCCCTTCACCGTGCGTTTCCAGTGAGGCTGCCGCAGCCTGGGTGGCAAAGACTGAGGGCAGGGTGGGGCCAGCGTGGACCACGTGGGGCCAGGCCACGGCCACGGCTCCCTCAGAGTTTTGGGTTCCCCGGAGCAGGCAGCTTCTTTGCCCATCTGCGACCTGGGCCACAGTCCCCGGGGCTCATTCTAGTTCAGTGGGACGTAGGTGAGACGCCTGTGTCCCCACCGGCCCCAGAAAACCTGGGCTCTGAGAAAATGCTCCACAGCTTGGCTCTGTGCCTGGGAGCCCCAGGTTCCTTGTCAGAAATGTGACACCTTCCCTTGTCCCCTTGTAAACAACTGGGAACCATCTACGTGAATGAGGGACGTCCTCTGGGCAGGTGGTTGATTAAATTTGACGTGAGGCCGCCTTCCGTGGGCTGACTGTGGCGATGTCTTGCAGCCTCCGAGGGACGAAAGCCTGAACGGCCTCCTCCAGGGGTACAGGATCTACTACCGGGAGCTGGAGTACGAGGTGGCATCGGTCACTGAGTCCAAGACGCTCAAAAACCCCTTGGCGTTACGGAGCGAGCTCACAGGTGAGCCGGCCGCTGTCCCCTCCTCCCGCCCCAGGTACCTGGCCTGGCCGCTGGGTCGGCAGGGGGTCCAGGTAACCGTAGCATCTGCCGTGGAGGCGTGATGGGCACCCTGTGGAGGGCTGGGGGGACGGGGGGACTGTCCGCCTCAGCCCAGTGTGACGACCAGGGGGGACCAAACAGGAATCTCCGAGCTTTGGGCCTCTACCCAGCGGGGGTCAGGGGAGGCTTCATGGAGGAGGAGCCCTTTGCAGTAGGTTGTCAGGTTGAAAGGACTTCAGGGAGGATGTGAAGGGAAGGGCATGACTGACAAGGGCCCTCAGAGCTAAATGGTGGGGAGGTGGGGGGCGGCGAGGGGCTGAGGGACCGGGGCAGCCAGTCAGGAGCACAGCGGGGCCGGTACCCCGGGTCCCCTTGCTCTTCACGCGTGGTTTGCTCGTTCCAGTCAGACAGGGCTCTTACCTGAGCCCAGGTAAGCCGACCGCCGTACCCACCACTGGGCATCTGGAAAAGTCTCTGCCGGGGGAAACTGACTCCCGTGTCTTGTCTGGCGTCTCCTTGTGCTGTGTCGGGCCCCTGACCTTTCAGCAGAGGGCGAGCGTGTGACCCACCCGTCTCCCGCGGGTGCCTGGCTGCTTCACGGAGAAGGCCATCACCCCAGCAGCCAATGGCAGTGTGGTGGCGGGGGGCATGGCACAGCCCCGTCCCTGCAGCTGTCCCCGCTCGCTGACCGCCTTTCTGCTTTGCTCACCCTCACAGCCCACAGCAGCTTCAAGACCGTGAACAGCAGCTCCACCCTGACCACGTACGAGTTAACACGTGAGTGCCCGCGGCCCGGGGAAGCAGCTGCCAGCTGGGGGGGGG